TTCCTCACAGGAATGCAGACTTGGGGTGGTGGGCTGTATGTTCATGTCTATATTTAAAGCCGAATGCAGCTGATGGCCCGGGACCTTCAGCTGTTCAGATCCTCGTTAAGTCAGTCGAACGTGAGCAGAACTTTCTTGTTCTAAAACAAAAATACAAGTAAAGTCTAAATCAGCGATCTTGTTCACTCTGGATTTGGTTGAGTCTTTGTGCCATCTTCTGTCTGTCGGTTCACCTCTACTCATTTAACTCAGTTTAAAAGTTGATTTATTTTATAAATCAATATTCCTGGGCTCGAATCCCAACAGCGGCTGTTCGTTTGGAGTGTGCAGGTTTTTAATTTGCATTTCTGGAGTTTCCCCCCCTCAGTCCAAAGACAAGCATGCTCGTTTATTTAAGGATTTTTTTTTTTAACGGATGGATGGATCCATAAAAAAGACATAAACAAATGAAGTCCTCAGGCCTCTCGGCTCGGTGTTGAATGAGACCTTCTGCCTGTACAGATGTTCAAATGTTTTTAATTCAGTTTCCCACAGTAGGTTTTCCTCCTCCTGCAGTTATAGAGCCTATCCCAGCCTTTGTTGTACAATTTTCTGTCCTAATTATTTAAATAGAAATATTGCCAATCTACTTTTGAGACAAATAATTTCTGCAAAGTATAGGCAACAGAAACGTTTTTGTGGTTTACACAAATTAATGTAACCAAATAAAAACCAGTCAGGTGTCGCATATTTACAGGAAAAAAAGAATCATCTACACGCTTTATTTTCTGATTAACTGAAGGTGCAAAATAACTTAAATTATGTCTCTATAAAGCTGCAGTATGTAGCTTTTATTAAAAAGAATATATTTTCACATATTTGTTTAAACTGTCACCATCCTATTACACACACACACACACACACACATATATATATATATATATATATATATATATATATATATATATATATATTTTTTTTTTTTTTTTTAAAGCTACATACAGCAGCTTTAAACTTAGTTCACACCAGCTGAAGCTCTCTGCAGTTCTCCCTGTGGCTCTCCCTCTCAGTCTGACTGACGTACAAAGTTTACCACTGCCTGCGTCTGTCCCTTTTAACGATGACTCAGACTCTGCGTGAGCGCTGAGGCGTGTCATGACGTTGCTGTTGTTTGATGAAACCCTGAGAGATTCCTAAAAATGACCCCAGAGCTGGAATGTATTAAGCTGGCAGATCCAGGAGAAAAAGTCACGACAGATTGTTGCTAGCGGCAACTGAAGGCTCGAGTCGGTGTGTTCTGGTGCGTGTGCAACGAAAGCAAGCCAGCAGGCAGAGAGGATTGTGACAAGCAGAATCTAAAACAACATCCAGAAACTGCATGGTTGTTAAAGAATTAATTAGCAATTGATTGCAAGAAATAAGTATTTGATCGCTGAGGTCTAGTTGAAGGGAATTGTAATTTGTTTCAGAGAGAGAGCGAACTCCTATATGACTGAAAAGAAGAAATGGCAGTTATGGAGAAAAATGATTACATTACTTTTTATACACTGCATTTAAATTTAAGCTTTCAAATGTATATAATCATTGTGCCACAGATACTGACTCCTCACAATTACTCAACACAACCCCAGAAAATTACTCCACCTGAGTGAAGTCAGCATCTCACCTTCTTCAACTTAATATTTGTGTCAAACGCTTGTGCTGCTTTGTGCAGCAACATTTTTTTATTTGTGCTGCAAATTTTTTTTATTTGTCCCGCTATCACTTTAAAGATATTTATAAACATTTCAGAGGTCATCAAAGGTCAACCAGCCAGTCCACATTTACACAATCTAAAGGAATACGGTGTCAATCAACTATGCTACGTTTGTGCTGTTATAATTGGTAAGATTAGAAATAAAGTGTCCAGAGGTCACCAGAGGTCACCAGAGATCAACCTCCGCCCAACACACGAACAAAATCAAAGAAACTTCATATAAAATAACTGTTTTATGTTGATTGGGATCAAATTTTGCTTGATTTTTAGAAATGTGGCAGGAGGGAGGCCGACATTTGATGACTTCTGGAAATATCTAGTAATATCTTTAAAAGGAAGCAGTAAAACTGAAACATTTTGCTGCACAAACGTAGCACAAAAACATTTGACACTAATTTTGTTTCATTTGAAGAAGATGGGGCCCAACGTCACGCAGGCAATTATTCCTCAAATAACATGAAAATAAAACACATAAGGAGCTTAGTCTCATAGAACAGCTGAAAAGCTCAGAGGTATGAAATAAAAGTAGACATTGCTCATAGAATATTGCTTTTGCACATTCTCATCAAAACCCTCCGTAGCGAATGTGATCTTTCTGATTCTTCTTTTCCATTCATGCCTGCAACAGATCACACAGAAGTGTCACCGTTTACTGTGGCGTGTTCAGCTTCTTCTCCACAGTAATCCTTACATGTGAAGTTGTCATGAATCCACTGAGAGAGACAGAGAGGAAGAGAAAGAGAGAGAGAGAGAGAGGATTCAGATGATGCCGGCAACAATCCACACATTTGGTCAAGCCAAAGCCCAGAGCTTCAGGGAGGAAACCGCATCAGCAGTCTGTGACATCAGAGATTAATCGCAGACCAGCCGTCCCCCCCTGTCCCTCTGTGCGGAGATCCAGAGGGGACAGCCATGATGGACACCTGTCACAGCTCTTCCCCGTCTGCAGAGCGTCTCCGCTGCTTGAGACGGAGGCCAGCAGGGAGGAAGACCGCTATGCATGAAGCAGCTGCTAAAAACTGAGGGGTATCTGCTGTGACAGACACTGCGCTGACACCGACTGCGAAAGCTTCCGTCGCTTTGGTCTCTAATTGTTTGCAATTACACGTTAGTCACCGATTTTCACTCTGTAACTCAAAAATATTGGCAGAATGAGTAAAGCAGCAAATCTCTAAATCACACAGTGACGTCCTCAGGAGTCTTAGTCAGATTTGAACAAATGAAGTGGCCAGCTGGTGCCGGATTCACGGGCTGGACAGTTTTACAGGATGTTTGCTGCTCCACGTTCTCTTTCTGGGGAATCTATCTTATTGAACAGTTTATATATATATATATATATATATATATATATATATATATATATATATATATATATATATCAAAAACACTGATCAGACATTAGATCAGGGTTTTACCGGTCTTTATAAAAATAAATAACTGTCACATTGATTTAAAAAAAAACAATATGATACACCAGGGATGTTTCAGAAAAGTTTTCATTTAGAGAATTTGTGTAATCCGTCCCAGTTTGACCAGTTTGATACACGCCAACGAGGAATCCACAAATCAGATGCCATCTTCTGTGATGTCACCCTCCACTCGGGTACAGTCCTATTTTCTTAGGCTTAACTGCAACATAATTCTTTTTTTTTTTGTTTTAATTATATAAAATATGGCTGCAAATACACGTCCACATTGTTTCTTTATCCTTAATCTAACATCTGTAAATTTATATCTTTATAATTTATGTCTGTGAGTCAAGTTTTCACAATCTTTGCCAATAAAGTTGATTCTGATTCTTCAGCTATTTTTTTGTTTGGCTTTTAATGTATTTATTCAAGCAATTTCTTTAAATGATATTTCTCTGCTATTTTGTACTTTTTTAAAGAACTGTTTCTGCTCATCAACATACAAACTCTGCATGCCTCTAGTTTATCTTCAGAGATCGTTCGAACAGCCAGAGTACATGACAGATTTGACCTGGCAGCGCCATGTTTGGAGTGTAAACACACACAGGTTGCTCGGAAAACATCGACCTTGTTGTCAGTGTGATAATCACTGGTGTGTTTCCAAACGTGGTGGTTCAAACCGAAGGTGATCTGGAGAAAATGTCCTCGGCTTTCTTTCTAAAAAACGGCGGTCCATTTTCTTTGTATGAACGAAAACATTCCCAGAGCAGCTTTGACATCAGGAGCTTCCTATAAATGCAGTGTCACTGCTTCAGAATGACTGCAGACGGCTGGCGTTTATTTTCGGCAGCCTGTGAATTGCTGGGTGTGGGGTTTGCAGATGGCAGGCATAGTACAGATGCCATTACCAGATGTACGATTTATGCTACACACTTTATGCGTTGTTTTCACCGGCAATCAAACTGCAGGACAGTGTGTGTGTGTGTGTGTGTGTGTGTGTGTGTTAATCCACAGACGAAAAGTGTCGTACTTGGACGGTTTACTTGTGTATGTGTAGGTCTGAGAAAGCTTGGGTCAGGAATGGGTCAAGGGATCATTTAAAGAGGTAGGATGTCATTTCTGTGGGGCGCGTCGGAGAGGAAAAACTCCTCAGCAGTTTTTTGAATTGGAGTGTGTGTGTGTGTGTGTGTGTGTGTGTGTGTGTGTGTGTTTTTCAGGAGCAGTGGCCTCCAGGCATGTCAGGATTAGCCATTTTATTTCAAATATCTCAGATGGTTGAGATCATTACCAAACCACGGTTTGTCTCGAGTCGTGTAAAAACTTTCTTTCCCAAATTTTCAGATGTTAATTCTTAGTTCAGTACTTCATCGTCTTATGAGGAAAATGTATTTCTTTAAGAAACCACTGAAAGGCTTGGGACCATTTCACCCTTTTAGCCATTAATTCCCACATGTTGCTATTTAGGGCATTTCTTCTTCCATTTATATTTATTTTACCCATAAACAAACCTTTTCATTTCCATAGTTTATGCTTAATTATTGTGTATCAGTTTATTTATCATGGTTGTATTTGATGTCCTACAAATACAAACAGCAATGGGTGTGAATACTTATGTACATGTGACTTTTATTCCCACACAAACCTTTTCACTTTGATATTATGTGGTAAAAAAAAAAAACATTTTAAAAAGGATGTTGCATAAAATACCATCCTTTCCAGATGAACTGTAAATAAATAAAGTTCTAAAATGTCATGCATAATGTGATGTAAAGCTATTTTTTGGTGTTTTTATGTTGTATCTTTCCTGGTTTTGGCAAAGTAATAAGAAATTATTTCAAAAAAGTGACTCATAAAGATAATGAAAAGTTGAATTTATTTAGTAATCTAAATGTTTTACAGTTTTCTACAAGGCCGGGTCTACAAGGCTGTGGGCTGGAGTCAGTTTTGGTGCACAATCCACTGCACCTACTAATGCAGATTACAATAGATTAATATGTAGTCACATACAATAATTGATGCATTTAGGTTTAAAATCTAGGGAACAACATGGAGCAGTGATCCATGTTGTTGCCCCCAGAAATATTACTTTATAAATTTCCAACACTTGAGTATCATGTATATTTATTTAAAAAAAAAATCCTCACAATATGAGCCTATAAATTGTATATAAAGTAGAAGCAAAATATGTATTCATAAAATTTTTTAAAAAAGTATCTGGGGCCCCCAAAACTCTTTGGGATCCGAGCTGCTGCCCTGTTTCTAAAGTCTGGCCCAGGTTTTACAGATGATCCGGCTCTGCAGCTACTGGCACCAAACACAAGACATGTCCTGGCTTCCTGAAATGTTCGTGCGAAACTGGATTCATGTCTGTCAAGGTGTCATTGTTTCTAGGTGGGTTGAAAGTTCTTTTAGTTGTTCTGAGTGGTTCTACACCCGCGAGTTGGTGGGAACGCGCGACGAGACAAATCGGATCCTCTGTGAGTACAACAGGTCTGTCAGATAAAGCCCAAAGTTCACGCAGGAGAACACGGCCACCACCACTTTGCTGTCCCACGGACACTTCCCCTGCGGACACGACGAGGGTCGCCATGGAGACCCATACTTGGAGTCGAAGCAGAAAACCGGCCACACCACCGAGGCGCTCAGGTAGAGCAAAACCTCCAGGAAGGTGCACACCACCACGAAGCGGTCGAAGGGCATGCACCTGACAGTTTTGGTGCGTTTACAGACGGTCATCATGACCACCAGGGCGGTGAGAGCAAAGCAGGAAGCGTAGACGACCACGCAGTAGATTGTGGCGGCGTAACGCGAGAACTGGCTCCCGTTGGCCAGCGCGCCAAAGATGACGCAGGCGACGAAGGCCTGCACCACTTTCAGAAGGCCGGGGACGGTAGCCATGTAGCCCACCACGATGTGGCCCGGTCTGGCCCGGCACAGGGCCACTTCGGCTCCGTAGGCCAGAGTTCCCAGGATGGAGCAGACGGTGACGGCGATGCGGAAGTCTCGGACTTCGCAGCCTTCGTACGGGCACTCGGACCTGACGAAGAACAGCGGGTAAACCACGGAGGCCGTCACGTACCTGCAGAAAGGAGACAGGAAGACGGGTTCATCTGTCTGGGTTCTCGGGTCAAGGCACAGTCAGGTCCAGCAAATCAAGGCAAGAGTAAAATCTTAAAAACTGATTGAGAAATTGAGCGGTCGGTCGGTCAAAGGGAAATGAGGGGAACCCCGACATCCCTCCCCCTATGGACACTCTCCAACCAGAGACCAGCCAGAGAGGTTCTAAATACTTGCTTGTTTATTTTGATTATTGTATTTGAGAAAACACAACATTTACTGATTGTTTTCTAATTGGTATCATGAAATAATATTTATGACGTAAAGTACTTTGAACCGCCTTGTTGCTGGAATGTGCTATAGAAATGAACTTGAGTTGAATGATTAATTCGTGAATGGACCCTCCAGTGTTTCCTGTCACCCACATGAGCGTGGCGCAGGCGGCCCAGGTGACCGTCAGGTTGTCCCAGGACACCCGGAGGCAGCTGTAGAGACGGGTGGCGTCCAGGAAGAAGATGGCCGCCGACACGGCGAAGCAGCAGCACCAGGCCGCCATGCAGAAGATGCCCTGCGAGCCGCTGTACCCGGCGCTGTGGGTCACCATCGCGATCACAGCACAGCCCATGGCTAACTGGCAGATCCGGGCGCCACCCAGGGTGGAGCAGAGAGCCCCCTTGTTGAGGTACGGACCCCCCTGCGAGTCCATGGCCGACAGGAAAACGACTTGTCCAGAAGCAGCTCCACGTTTCTGGTTCAACACGGGTTTGTTGAGGATTTTCTTTCTTCAGGACATCTGTGAAGCAAAGGAACAGAGTGACATTTCCTCATTTTAAGACTTGTAGGGGTTTTCTTACTTTTCTATCTTAACTGGTTATTTTTTCCCCCTCATTTTCTATCCACTGTGCAACTCCTAGACTTTGCTTTAGTGAAACATGACACTCAACCAGATATGAAAATAATGATTTAGCTTCAACAAAATGGTTCCCAGTCAGTTTTTAGCTGGAAACTTGGCACGCAGTCGGTGATCGACTGAAGAATGATGGATATATCAGGTCTTTGCTGGAGTCTCTCCCATTTCCGAGTGACTTTCAGGAACATCTGCTGCACACGGTTTTTCAAACCTGCATCCTTTCTCGCATTATCAAAACTGAAGGCCATGCCAGGTTTGTGGCTGCTTTGTCAAACTTTCATCTGTGGTGCTTTTTTATCGATCCAGTGAAGGAAATGGGAACAAATTGCCTAAAGATCCGATATAAAAATAACCTCTGTCTTGACTCAACCCTTGAGCTTGGGGCCATTTTATTTTTCAATGATTCAAATATCAGGTTATTTAACAAATTATTTAAAAAAATATACTTATCTTCTTGGGAGCAAAACACAATGGGTCTAAAATCTAAATTAATGTAGAAAATCAACCAAACCCCAGATTTGTAGATCACAACAAAACATTTCAAAATGAATTTGTAATTTTACATAAATCCTGTAAAATTCAGCTGAAAACAAATTGTCAATAGATGGAATAAAACAGAAAAAGCTTCAATAAGAGCAATGCATAAATCTGCACAACCTGAAACTAATACTTTGGTGAAAGACGCTGGTTTAAATTTAGCATTCACTCTACTTTGGTGAGAGTCTGTCAGGATCCTTGGAGTTAATGGTTGGAAACTTCTGCAGCTCCTCGGTTTCCTTTTTGCATTAGTTTCTGTTTTCATTCATTTTGAAGACTTTTTTCTGTCTATTCCAATTTTTTCCTCTGTGTCATGTTACGTTATGATGAGAATTTTTATGCATCTTCCCCCAGACTGAGGCATTTGTACAATGGCATTTAGATGCTCTATAATTTCTCTGCATCCTGAAGCTTTAGCTAAAGAAAATTAGTAAAAAGTAAGATAAGGTAATTTTATTTATAGAGCAACAGTTTCAGCAGTAAAGCAGTTCAAAGTGCTTTACATGAATTAGAAGGAAATACAGCAAACCAAAGGAAAGGACGAAAGAAGAGAAAACGAAAACAAAAGTATAACCCCATGTTTAAGGATGAGTAGTTGTGATTTGTAAACTAGTAACGGGTTTCTCTAGATAAACTAATGAGAGTTTCTCTGGATTCTAAGTTTGTTCTAGTTCCTTCTCTGGACTGAGTGAAAACCTTTGGTTCTTTTTGCTCCAACTGTTGGTTTGATTCCCGTTCTGGGTTGAGTGAATGATACAAACTAAATGTTCCTGTTCTGGTTCGCAAAGCAGAATAAGAAGTTAGGAAAATCCTGCTTGGACAGGTGGACTTCACGTCACCGGTACTGATCGATGTAAACGCGAACGCTTCAGCCACGAAAACAAAATGCTTGTGACCGGATCAAAACCCGACGCCTCAAAAGATTGGGATATATGTCACGATAAGAGGAGGAAAGTGTTTCGAACGACTTCATTCTGGTCTCAGCTGTTTCAGCCACGCCAAGATTTATTTTTGTGTTGACGAATCGCGGCATGCCGAGACAGACGCGAGGGGAAACGCATTTCAGAGATGTTGTGTCGAGAACTTAGCCCGGGCCGGCAGCAGGACACTCACCTCTCCGCTGACCGATCCCCCCCGCCCCCTCGATCACATGAAGCAAAACGCTCAGAGCTCCTCAGCATCGGCGTCGGGTCCAGGCCCGACGCTCAGCGTAGAAAAACTCCACAATCCGCTCCAGGTGAACCTTCCAGGACCAAAATCCACCCTCTCATCTTCTGACTTTCCCCGAGACGCACTGCGCCTCACACACTTTCTCCTCCCAGTGTGGTGAAGAGGGGGGGTCGCTGCTGGTCAGCGGGAGCAGAATGAAAGTTATTTGGGGCTGGGCTGTCCCCACGTGAAGAGGTCCACCAGGCTGGGTGTGGAGTTGGAGGAATGCAGACACATTGCAGACCCTCTGCTGACCACATGAAGGGGAACATCGTCGCTTTAAAATACAACGATCAGGATGTGATGATTTACAACGGCTTAATGAATCTGCAGATTGTTGTTGGGTTACAAATTTCAACACATTTTATTGAGATTCTCTGCCACGGACTAAAACTAAGAGCATAACTGTGACGTGACAGAGAATATTCACTGTTCAATCCATCATGTGAAAATGGAAAGAGTATGAAACATGTGTAAACCTACCATGACGTGAGGTCAAAGTGCTCACATCTGAACAGGAATTAAAGAAAACTGGTACGAGGCCCATGGTTACTCTGGAGGAGCTGCATAGATCCAAAGCCGGGAGAAGTCGTCCACAAGACAACATTGAGTCTTACAATCCAGACATGGAGGAGTGGCAACAAGGAAGTTGTTGACAGCACAGTTGTTGCACATGAAAGCGTCTAGTTAAAGTCCAGACCTTAATCCAACTGAGAATCGGTGAGAGGACTTTATGTGCTCAGACTCAGGCTCATTTACTTTGGGGGATTTCTGCTTTTATGCAAAAACTTGTGAGCCTTTCATTTTCTGTTGCATTTCAAAGTCTTTCCTCTGCAAACGAACCTGCAGTGCAGAACTCAAAGAAAACCAGGAACCGATGAGTTGAAGCCCGATCCGTTTGTTTTTATTTATAAGCTGAAAGGTTTCGGATAGATCTGTTTGTATTCATTTAACACATATACTACAGATTTACACAACTGTAAATATGTTTACAGTAAAAGAAAAAGTTTGAGGGAAAAAAATCTGAAATGCTTCAGACTCTGAACAGTTTGTGAAACCGAGATAATAAATGTCTCAACACACCAACTGACGGCATGAAGAGAAAACGTCAGTCTGAATGACTTGGATGGATGAAAACTTTCACACATGCGCAGAGTAGAGTTGTGCCGTTTGGTTCACACTGGACTCGACAGTGAAATCATCAACAGCTGTGTGAGGCTGGAGTTCTGCAACTTGAGACTGGGTCAGCGAACAGTATTTCAAGATATATTTAAAGTTTGACACGCTTAAAAATTAAGATCCGAAAGGCAAATTGTCAGCAGCTGTTGTGAGTTAAAAAGCACAGCAAGCGGGACAGAGATCCGATTTTCTAATTTTACCTCAAGGCGGAGAAAAAGGCAAATGTCACGTCAGCCTCACTTTACTCCCAACTCAAACTAAAATCAAGCCGTTTGGTTTGACGATGCAATTTGAATGAACTAAAAACAAAAAAAACAGCGTTTTGTTTATATTTTTAGGTCTTTGTCTCCCCCTGCTGGTGCCGCACAGTCTGACAGCCTCAGTCTAATAATCCATCAGCTCAGTCAGACACGCAAGGAACTCCCTTAGTGCTAAAATATACCACCAAATATTCACTCAAAATAAATTGAAATATAAAAATGTCGTTATTTTGTGTTCAATCTGCTAAAAATACAGGAGTCACAGCTTTAAGAGAGTAACTCCTCAGTCAGTTCATGTTTAAGTAACTCCTCAGTCAGTTCATGTTTAATTAATTAACCTGATAAAGTACATGTTAGTTACCAAAATCTAAGCAGAATGGTTCCTTCTTAAACTTAGAAACTTCTAGGATCAAGAAGACAGAAATATTTCTAGAGCTGGAGAATAAAAGACAAACAAGAGCAAACCCTGTTAGTATAAGACTCTTTATTCAATCATCTTCCCCGTTCCCAGCACGTCGCTCTTGTTATCCCAGGAACAAACTGGAATGAAACACAGCAATCGCCTTCAAATTCATCAGTTCAGCTATTCATCTCCGTCTGTAAAGGCAGCAGGTTCTGGTTCTGGTGGATCAGGACCTCAGTGGAAGCACAGCAGAGGTCTGGATGAGACTCCGACTCCTTCAACGCGCAGCACACGCCTCATTTCTTACCTGGGTAGCAAACAGGAAACGGTTAAATACGCCACAGGAAGCTTAGTATTCCTAAGCGTTTAAACACTCTGGAGCTTTTTTCACATTGTGAAAAAGCTCAATCTGGGGGATTTCATGAGAAATGAGAAATCCCCCAGATTTTTTATGAAATCTGGGGGATTTCATGAGACGGCAAGACAAAGAAGAAGTGTCTAATAGTTCGGAGGAAGGATATAAATGCTTTTTTTTTGTAATCTGGAAATTGTGGCGTTCGTTTTTGTATTCAGATTGATTTTAAGGTCATGACTTCCTAATGTCTGATGGTGGATTGAACGCCATCAGACACGAATCCTTGGAATGTGGTTTTATAACCCGATCCACCTGAAAACGTCTCCATAACTTCACCCCCGACCTGTCTGGATGTTTGTACAAAATACTGACAGCTACGTGTCATTTTCTCCGTCTCTCACTTACAGGTGATTTTAACAGAGCCTCTTTTAATGGAAACACCGCAATTGCAAAATTGTGTTGTTTTTTTACATTCGCGGAATATCAACAAAGTTTTGCACACATTTGTAATGGGAAAAGCAGCTGGTTAGGAAGTAAATAAATTGGTAAGAAAAGCCAATGAACTGCTTCAGAAAATAGACTGACTTACAAAATGTTGTATAATCAGGGCTCCCATACAGTTCTACATCCAAACTATAGACTATAAGATTGAAATTTAAAGTTTTCAGTCCTATTTAGTCCAATTTTACAAATGGATTTCAAGGTATCTATAGAGTGGCCAGACGTTAAATGTGCAGCCTGCAAAAATGTCCAACTGTGAAGAAATGGGAGAAAGGAACCAAGAAAGAAAGAAAGAAAGAAAGGATGTTGGCTAAACTGACAGAAGGATGGCTAGACAGATGGATACCCATCCAAAGCTGGAAAACTGTTCATTTCCAGACATTTGTGGGAAGTGCAGGAGCTCCGGACTGGAAAAACACTCGTCATGGAGATGAAGGACAAGAGCAAAGTCATGAATAAAACAGTGAACACAAAACGAGTTGAGGGTTCGTTCCTCCTGGATGCTCTCCTGACGCGTCACTGCTGATCCCCTCAGAAACGGACAAACGCCGCGACACGCACGCGCCGAGCAGAGTCTAGAGCGAGCGCGTTTCCGTGCACCGGTCCACACATGGAATCTATAATCCTCATTGAGCGCCCTCTCATCTGTCTTTTTCTTTTAACTTTCTTCATGAAAGAGAAAACAGCCACAGCTGGGTTCAGAGAGGACACACACGGAGATCAGCCAGAAATAAAACTCACAAAAACACAAACAACACGGGGGGAGGGGCCGCAAACAGAGCGAGTACCCTGAAGGAAAACACCAGCATGGTGACCAGCAGAAACCCTACGACACGACATCAGAGGAGCGGCTGCACCAGAGGCTCTCTGCCTGGGCACTCCAAGCACGCGTGTGTGTGTGTGTGTGTGCGTGTGTGTGGGTGGTGCCTTCAGGACGGGATGCGGACAACCGTCCTGAACCAACTGCTTGATCCAAACATCCATCCCGATGATGTGAGTCACCAGCCGTTCTGTTCCTTAGAAGCAGCAATCTGGTGAATGCTGTTCTCAGTTTGTTAGGAGCTTAATGACGCAAAACTGCAGTGATAAAAACTTCTTTCACAGCAACAAGACAAAGGGACGTAATTGATCTCAGTGGGCTTTTATTTCCATGTTTAGTGTCTAATGGTGTTTTCGCTCCTTTTTAATGAAGCTTTGTACGCTCATTCAGCAGCAATGGAACATTTTAAGCACTTGGAGCCTGATCTACAGAGATTTAAAATGAGAGGCAAATTGTACGAAGAATAAAACCGCGAGGGCGGTAAAGGGGGCGTGTTGAACACAACTGACTGCAGGAGTGACAGCGGTGCAGACGGCCCTGTTCAAACGAGGATTGTGTCATCATGAGCGTCGGCGAGCAGAGTGGGCATAAAAGAAAAATGAAGCAGAAAGTGATTATAATGATACGTTTCATTTAATGAGGTAAAACCCAACAGTAAAAACATTTAACGATCAAAGTAAAACTCAAAACCTCTGTGCTCACTCACTCCACGCTCACCTTCGTCTTACCGCCAATCCTTATGTGACGATTTGAAAATAAGAATAAATATTGCTTATTTAGCCCGAACATTGCAAACCAAGGAAAGGCCACAATAATTTATCAGAACATGAACGAGCCGGTAAAGAAACTTTTCCTGGGCTTCAGAGACGCGCTCCTGCCGGGCATCAAAACGTAACGCCGTGCTGCAGAAAGCGACGGCGTGCTGGAATCATTTCCAACTCATCAGCATATAAACATGTTTTGTATATTCATGAAAGCAGACAAGCTGAATTTAGAGCGACTAAGATTCTCCTCACTTTGCGGCACAATTTTGTTTGCGTGTCGTTTGTGTGTGCACGTCATCAAGTTTGTACCAGATTTTACAAGTCATATGGTTCAACAAACTTTATTAGTTTTAAACAAATTACAGCTCTTTCTAATACACTTTTTTTGTTTTTGAAATTACAATCACTCGAGACTAAGTGGCTGTTCCTTCTCTTCTGCCTAACATCAGACCAACCTGTTGCCTTCCCCTGTCTGTGATTCTTTCTCTCTTCTTCTCTTCTTTCTCTCCATCCTCTCAGCTGAATGACATGAACTTCATGTTAAGTAGGTTTAAAATACAGCAGTCAAACCACACAAGAAACATGATTTTAACTGATATCCGTTTGGATGAACAGCTGCTTCTGATCAGAAGTAGATGCATCAAAGCACGTGTCAGACTGAGTGACGGTATTTAAACTCAGGTTTATCACAGCCAAGTTCTGTAATTTATTGGTTTTATGACCATTTCACTCAACAAATGATGAATGTCTGCACAACAAAATTTACATTTACAAGCGTCCTCTTGATGCACCGACATAATTTACCTGCTGTCTTTCGATCACTTTCAGCTGTTTTTACGTTTTGTGCCCTGAGAGCTTTTGTTTCAGACACGATTCAAATGGGGAAAAAAAAAAAAAAATCGCACGCCGAAATCAGAAAAAAAAAAAAAAAAAAAAAATTTAAATCCCCGGGCCCCCCTGGTCAAGTAAAAAAACCGCAGGGCCCGTTTGGCTTACACCC